GCATGAGGCTTTTGAATGGGTGAAATGAATGAATACATTCTTGATAGATGTGAAGGAATTACATCAAGGATCTTAGGATAGAGGCATACTATTTATGCGAGCTCTGAGAAATGAGCCGGCTCTTCCACTTACCTCTCCCCAATTTCCCATTCCAAATCCTTTCCATGTTTTACAATTGTGTCATATTGAGAATCTCATCCATGATGGTGGAAAGGGGTTTGCAGACATATCAGATTGGTTCAGTTAGTGAATGTGGTGCAGAACAGACCTAATATTAAAAAGTTATTTAATAGCAAGGCTTAGATTGGTCGAAGAGAATAGTATACCAAGTTATTTAATGAAATGATACAAGTCGAAGATTGAGAGTTGTATTTGGTTATCAGATTCGTAAACTGAAGTACCTACTCATACTCCGCATTTTGTCCGCTTCAACGAAAGCTTATGATCGATTTCCAAGCACAAGACGGAAGAGACCACAACTAATTTCTATTCACTTTCCCTTTGCAAAAGCAGACAGCCAAAGCATTCATTGAATACCGGTAGGCAAAATGGCCTTTTTGTCACGTGCACTGAAACCACCCACTGGCGCTAAACGAATTGAGAGAGCTTCAAAATATTGTCGAGATTTTGGCCCCGGACATCCATCTCAAACCACCTTTCTAACGCCGGAATATCTGCATATGTCCTCGGAGCGCATTGTTTAGACTCTCTTGTGGAGTTATTTCTGTTGATCTCCTAAAAACCTCTCCTAGATGGCCTTCCTCCAACCCAATATGGCCGAACCTCAATCGACACGAGCTCCGCAAGCTTCCACAACCTCCGAATCAGAGTCTGCCTTCTTCTCACCACGATCACGGCGTCAATTGGGTCTCTTTGCGGCAGGAGTCGGATTCTTTGCAATATCTTCAGTCATCACACGACGCTCGATTGTACGGCGGTACAAAGCAACAGTCCCCAAATTCTATCAACCAAGCAATCAGCCGGGTACACAAGTCAATGGTGCGATGGAAGCATTCGAAGCTTTGAATATTGCCACAGTAAATGTTTTTAGTGTGGGCATGATGCTCACAGGGGGATTATTATGGGCTTTCGACATTGCGTCGCTTGATGATATGAGGTCGAAGGTTCGGACGAATCTGGGAGTGGATCCGATACGAACAGACCAGGACGCAGAGGCTGAAATAGAGGAATGGTTTGCGACTGTGTTGGCTAGGAAGGAATTCAAAACTCTTCGGGGAGAGAAGGGGATCAAGACTAAGGAGGATGAGGACGAGAAGAAATCTTAAGCTCTGGATCAACTGCTGCAGAATTTTGTCCAAGTGAGACGCTCCTGGATGCAGGTGCTCAGTGCAGGTTAACAGCTACGATTTACGCAGGAAGCCTCCGGCATCTCGTTACAGCATTTTATAAAGGGCGACGGATGTGCAAGATGATACGGGTTGGGGGATGGGATACTGGACAGCTAAAAAAGCCACATCTCTGCTCAACATGGGAATTTGATCCGTCTACATCTGCCAGTGAAGGGCTTTAAGTCCTCTGGGATTATGAAGGCGGCCGTCCCGTAAGCGTGGATGTTGCGAAATCGAATCTAAGACAATCGCTTCAAGCGTCCACAAAACCGTTAGAATTTGGCCGATCATCAGGAATCTGGGATCACAATCTTGGTAATCGTGAACGCCAATGTGGGATATGTCCGGAAGAGGACCGCCACGCATGAGTGACAGGCCAGTCCGAAGGTAGATTCTGATAGCCTTCTGCACTGGCTAAAGTTTCTTTTGAGAAGTCTCAGGCTGTATGCAAAAGAATGTTTCCTTTCCCTGATAGTGGCCTGCGCAAAATTCTCTGACTGGTTCGATATCAGTGTTGGTTCTTCTACGCAAGGGTTTGCCTTTGATCCAATTGGAGGACCCCAATTCCTGAGAGGTCATTGCAAGGCTCAACCGAACTGTCGGATCCTACAAGTAAAGGGGACAGGTGATTTTGCCCAGATTGCCCTGCTTTCTGGATTTTTTTGCTCAATGCGAAATCGACCAGTCTTCAGGTAGCCTCCACTGCTTTGGGCTCAGCTACCCAAATGTCCTTGGCATCTGACCGGAGTCTCGATGCAATTACCCGGCTGGATCGAAGATGAGCTCCACCGAAGTTGATACTATAGATTGCAAAGTTCCAGTTCGGAAATATGTTTTGGTCTCTAAGCCGTCCCGATGGAAGCAAAAGAGCGGGCGAGTTGTTGTTCAATCGCCCATGTTGAACATTTCCAAGACAATCTTAGAAGTTCCCGTTAGACGATTCAATGGTGAAGAAGAGAACTCAGTGTGTTTCCTTCCAAAACAAGACATCGAGAAGGATACAAGCAGCATCTATGAGAAGGCACAAGTCAGCAAGGCACCTTCGTGGGTTGATGCACATGGCGTTGCCTTGTTCGATAGTACTCCTTCGGACGACTTTACGTACTGTAGAGGTCACCAATTCTGGATCTACATTGGAACCAACACCAGTGGCTATCGTACAAGTGTTCCCGTCATCAATCTAAAAACATTTGAGAAAGGCGATATCGAGATTGACCAGGTGTGCTGGTTTCCGAGGATTCTGGGACCGAATGTTAGTTTTCTCTATCTGAGTCAGAGCATCTGCTGATCAAATTCAAGAAACAATTATGGACCCTAGGAGGGGGAACTAGACAACTTCGGCTGAGTGGTGCAAGAAAAATCTCTTACTTGTCCTGGGCAATCTGTCAACGGCTTGATGGCACCCCAACGGCAACTGAAATAGTTGAAATTCCGACAAAAGAGGTCCAATTGGAGGACAGACGAAGGCTTTCAATTTCGGAATCAAGATTCCTGTTCAATAAAATACTGCAACGTATGAACGGAGGCCCGTTTAATGAGGCATACCAGATAAACCAGAGCGAAAGTCCATCCTGGTCTCCCGGCCATTGTTCACCGCGCTCTCAAGTCATTGATTTGCCTACTCCACCCACGTCGCCGGGCCATCAACTTTTACAACTCCAACAGCTTCAACAGCTGTCGAAGGAACTCCCAATTCAAGCGCAGCACCCTCTTCCTCTTCCCAGTCCATGGCGGGGAATTTTCGAGCTGTGTGGACGTATAAATGGGCGCTATATTCTGAGGAACAGCTTGATACATCCTCAAGAATTGGCTCGAACCCGGACTCAGATATGGCGATCTTTGCTCCCCCCCGTGGAAACTCCTTCAAAAGATATGGACCGCAGCAAGAGCAACAACGTTATTACGGTTTACAGCAAAGGACCGCCCTTTCGTAAGACGCGAGAGTCATCTTCTCCTCACAGAAGAGATTCATCCCCTTCACGAGCCGAAACCAGTGATGAAGAACTCAACAACTATGACACCCCAAGCTCTGAAGGCTCTGAAATGATCGGCGCTGCCGAAATCCTCGTCGAAATGTCCAGAAACGTTTACCTCGACGCCGCGTCTCCAAGAGAAGCTTGGGAAGCCCACAAACCTGTCGAGAACCCAATGTTCACGGCGCTCTGCAGCCTAAGAAACCCACATTGTCCTTACACGATTCTCTCAACAAGATTACACTACCACTGCCCTCCAGAAAAGTGTAAGCTCTCCACGCTCTTTTCAATTCGCTCTCAACAAGAACGCGCGTTCCAAGACGAATACGACGCGGACCACATCCATTGCGTCTCTCGTCTCGGCTCCTTTCCGGACTCAGCAGGTGAATGCCAGCTCCAGAACTCTAGGTCCCTCTTCCCAACCCATAAATGTTGTTATTGGGATGAGGAGGATTTGAAGACTGTGCCGACGAGAGGGCAGAGGGCGTGCGAAAGCAAGAAGTTGGAGGAGGCAAGGAAGAAAGGTATGCGGATTCTGGATCGGAGTGGGTTGGTTGGAAATTGGCTTGATGTGGAGAGGGAGGTCTCGATGATGGATTTGAATTTGGATAATGGGGGAAGAGACCTGGAGGCGGCGTTGAATAGTGGATTTCATGAGGTGGAGAATGCCAGGTGTCTATTCGCCGCAGAATACTAGGGCGCGATGGGGGAAGGGGACTTCTAAGTTTATTTATTGTGCGTTTGAGCGAGGTGTTAGGTGCTAATGTGGGTTCTGGGATTGGAGTGTGTTCTTGGTGCGTTTGAGCGCGGTATCTTCAGGAGTAAGGAGCTCACAAAGAGTCTGCCATCTTAGTAAGCAGTTCATGAATCATTATTACCAATAGGCTCGTACCACCCTGCTCTAGTGATCTTAGTAGCTAAATGAAATTGCTTCTCATGGCCCCTCCCATGATACCGCGCCTCTCCGTTGCTCCCACCAGGAACGGATCCCGCTTAATTTAGGGAGCATCAAAAGTATCGCTTCTCAAGCCGAGATTTCGAAGCAAAACCTTTATATAATCTGAACCAAACTTGGGTAACTTATAGTACGAATCGATATCAATTATTTCACTGTCGTGGCTTCAATGAATTTTACTATCTGGTGACTTTTTCGGGATACAGTAGATGTAGAGGGGCAAGTCCCAAGCGAGGTGCCTTCCTGGTGGCAGCGCAACGGATAATTGCCTTGAAATATGGATTTTTGACCTCTTACCCCCGGTTAAAGTTAATGGATGGTTGTACTGGCTATTCGATTAAACTTCGAATCCGATTTTCTTGGAGAGTTTGACTTGCCGCCAGATAGGTACATTTCCATAGGGCACCATATACTCTTCATGTGATTTGTACGTAGCGGGGGTGTCTCTGATGTAAAAGAAACAAAGAGGGAAAACATTTTTCTGCCATAAACGCATTCAATCGTTTCGGAGGTGGATATAGATTTACCTTTTCCGGGGCCGTGAGAAATGCATACAGTCCCTTGTCGTGCGGCACTCAACACATGAAGGTGATCTGCAGTAAATTGGGTGGGGGTTAGACCCCACTTTTAACGTGACTTTCAGTCGCTTGGGGCTTTTTTTTCTTATGACTCGTATGATTTGAAATAAGCTCGATTTTGACATCCATCCAACCATTCAAGCTGGCTCCAATGGCGCAATGGTAGCGCGCGAGAGTGAGTAACCTTGTCATGTTGCCGTGAAACACATAACTAACGATTTTCAAGCTTCTATCTACACTTCACTGAGAAGTCATCTCGAGGCTGTGGGTTCGAGTCCCACTTGGAGTGATAGGAAATTAATTTTTTGTTGATTTTTCCGCCCTTGACTTGTGTTTCAGGAGCTCTTTGGGCAGATTATTCGTTCTTTTTTGATTGGTTTTATGTTTTGCTCTGGATGGCTCATTCTTGGTTGCGGGATTTTGCTAAGCGAGCAAACCTTGGTTAAAATTAGCACAAACGCTAGCGCAGCCATCCAGATCTCCCGTCGATTTCTCAGCCCTACCTTACTTCGTACTGTCACTCACCAGCTTTCTTTCGGCCCTCTCCGATGACTTCGAGTCTCCATCCTTTGCGGTACAGTAGTCTTCGATGTAGAACCCCTTGTTGTTCTTGCCGCAAGATCCTCACGATCGGTCCAATATCGGCGGACTTGGCCGTGCCGTGTTTCTTTTTCTCGCCCGAAGGATTCCAACATTCCAAGCTTGCATTACCCGTGCATCACCCGATTGCTGGCCCGTTTCGGCCCAGTTGGGGTGTCACAAGAACCTCCATTGCATCACCAACCACCTCAATCTTCAGACGCTTGTAACAGTTCTCATACTGCGTCACTGCAAGCCACAAGGACCTTTTTCCCGCGTTGCGCCCAAAATAAAGCTTATTTCTTTCGAGCGAATGCTTTGCTTGCGGTAACTAAGCCAAAATATGTCTGGAGTATTTTTATTTTCCTATTTAGGACAGTCATGAAGCGTCAGGCTCTCGAAGAGTTGCAGCATTCTCAATCGAAGTGCGAGTACAAGAGCCTTCATCCTTTCTCAGGGGTCACGGCAGTGTTTTCGATGGCATTTGCACATGGGCCTTTCCCGGGGCTTGTTGGTTTGATCAAAGGGGCAAAAGAGATATCAATTCCCACGAGCCCACATGCGTGCATGCGTGGGCATCAGATCTGGCGCAAGTGTTAACCGGGTTCGCGGGATTTAGGCTTTTTCTTTGGCCTATTGGCTCGATCTAAAGAAACATGCAGCTCAACAACATTGATCGCACATGGCCAGCGGGTGCTCTACCGGGTGACGGGTTCGTGGTATCAATGGCTTTCATGAAACCCCCTGCATCGAAGTTTCGTTGCTGCGGCAGTGGGAGTTTGTTGCGGGAATGCCCCAGGTGAAGGAGTGTCCGAGCGCAGATCTTCTTCTCATATTCGGGAGGCCCGCGTACACTTACACAATTCCAAATCTGGGGAAAGCAGGGGAAGTCTTCAACTTTGATGAGCGTCTAAGTCGCCATCATATGTGAGAGACCTGTGACTTCACTCAAGCGATGATAGCCTAAGAATATCAATGAACCAAACTGTTGGGAGTTGAATTTACAAACCTTACCTCGTCATCATCACCCTTCAATCTTGGTCTGGAGCTTTGTCCTCGTATTGAATGGAGCTCTGCATGGTCGTGTCCATATCCCTTTACTCGATGGCCGTGGTGCTTAGAATCCGCAGTATGTTAGGCCGTCGACCCAGCATAGAAGGCAGAGAAGGATTTCCTCATTTCATCCATCAGAGACGTTATTAGACCTGCCAAGACCCAGGTAAGAGAACACTGTTATTTATCTTGATACATGCTGTACGCTGACGACAAAAGGTATGGCGTCCTTGACAAATGTCATCAACATACTTACGTCCGCCGTCAGGGATGTTAAAAATCCCAAAAAGATGGTAATTCCCCTCGACTGCCATGAGGCGGACCTAGTCGATTGTTTGGGCAGTTTGAAACCTCATGCTTTCAGAGAATGGCACCGCACACAACTCGATTGGGTATACAGCGCAGCAGCTCAGAACGAGAGTCTGAAGCACTTGTGCAAAGCCGTTGCATCAGCTTTGCAGTCTGCTCTACGGAAGGCTGAGCTATTACTGGACCACCTTCAGCACCAGACACCTCTGTCTCGTTTCTGGTCCTCTCGGCATCTTATTGTGTCTGCACTCTGCGATGTTCTCCGTGCTTTCGAGGCTTTTCGTACGGTGAATGAAGAGCCAGATTTGAATGCCCATCACATCAGAATCATAGTACGACGGTATCTAAGAGAAACCTTCGACCTGATGTTTCTCTTCGGAAAATTTGCTTCTCTTGAGCATTGGTGCTGCTTATGGGAAGCTTCCTTGGCGGCATCTAATTTCGAGGACTTCAAGTTCGACAGCGATTCCAACTATGCAGGGTTGGATCGGCCGCAGATGGAAAACACCAACCTTTCTGGTGTCCTTGAAGATCCTGCCCAAATGCCTGAGTTATGTCTCCCAAATTTCCCTACCCCGCCGGCACTAGTCAAAAACCCTGGTCCCTACGGTCCAAGAGTCTACGAAAACCCGTTGAGTGGGCTACAGAGTAAGAAGAAACCCTCTTTTTCTTGCCCACAGGGTCTTTTGGTCGCGTGCATACTCTCTTAAAATTGCTAACTTCAACAAGTCATTAGCGAGGCTCAGAAAGACAAGTCTCTAAAGCCTCATATCTACGGTAATGAGACTCCAGCTACTTGTCCTATGGTGGACTGCTCAAATCTCCCCTCTCAACTGGCTCTCGTCTTGTCAGCCACTACACAAAGCAACGTCTATCCGTCGCCCTCCACCCCTCCATCCTTGATCCCTCCTCCACATGGTCAAAAACAGCAATTCGACACGGTAAATGACGTTGCAAATGCGCCTGTGTCCCCACAACTTCAACCCCTGCATTGCTCCTTTGCTGCAGGAGTCAAAGTCAGGCAATGTCTTTAGTAAGCCTTTCTTTTCTATTTCTAGAATCTCAACACAGCAGGGTTGACCTCGTCCAGAGGTTCTTGCATCCGGCACTATTGCGGCAAAAATACCTCCGCCGGCATTCCTGCTGCACCAGAAAACGCCACGATCGATGCACAACACCCTTTTCCGACATTTTTCATCTGAGACCTCGCGTATCTGAGCCGTTGAGTTGTCCATTGGCCCTCTACGATCGAGCGGGCTTGGTCCTGTGAACTATCCCTTCCCGGTTTTCAAGTTCGAGCATACTATAAATACATGGGTGACAGCCTGCCGCAATCTTCGTTCAACACCGTCTTCGCTTCGAGAATCAATCTCTTTACCACCACCCTTTCTCTCTTCTTTCATCATTCCCGGCGCGGGTTTCGCCCGGAAATCTGCCGCCAGTCCGGCAATGTCACCGGCTAGATGCCGTGACCACCAAGATTTTCCACGGCAATCTCCTCTCCTTCCCTTTTCCGGCCTTCTCGAGGCAAACCCAACGATCTCATTCACCTTCGTTCGAGAACAACCCATTTTCCCTCAACAACCACTACCTAGAACGGGCACGACTCGACTCGACCGCGCCCACAACAACCACTACCTAGAATCGGTTACGGTTGCATGTCGAATAAACAGTATCTGCTCATGGCAACAGCAATACAACATCCACGTCTAAACGACCAAGAATATCACCACTATGTATGAATCGAATGGCTCTTTTGCCAATCGATTCTAGCCAACCGATACCACATCCACAGTGAGAAAGTCATCCGACGGAAACTCATATCCGCGAAGATGAACTTTCAAATCAAGGCAATCCTTCTATGGAACACCATAGCCGTGCCGATGCTACTTTCGTACTCAGATTATTGTCCAATGGACAACTGATCTCCAAATCCTGAACGATGTTACTTTCGTATCAGGACAGCTGCCCTGGAGGCTCCACAGCCCGATCGATATTAAGCGCCTGTCGAGACAACCGACCTGTGGAGTTCTCACAGCCGTGCCGATGCTACTTTCGTATCGAGCCTGGCGGCTGCTGGGGCTATACACACCAAGAATAACAGCTACAACGATTACATGCCAAGCCAGCGTGGACGAGAATATCACTCTGCCTGGAAAATCATATCCGATCGAATACTCTATTGACACTTTTATGCGGGATGCTTCATTGTGAAGACCTGCTGGGCGAATACCTCAACTCTGCCTGGAAAATCATATCCGAATGCAACTCTATCTACACTTTGTGTGTGGGAGAGCTTCACGAATTTCTTTTGGAAATTGGCTTTTAGGCTGAATCTTGTCTCATTGGGGTCTCTTGCTCGGCGGATTGCCTTTCTCGCCTGTGTTTACTTGTTGAGTATTTAGCTTTTCTTTTCAATGTAATAGAAATATGAGGGCGGCACCGGGTGCACCGCGGTAATGGGAAGATAATGAGCGTTTCATTTTTTTGGCTGCTGGCGGGATTGAAGTGAGTTGGATGTCACGATTTTGAATTCTTAATGTAATAACTGTCAAATACGAATGTTCAACTTCTTCACATAATACTATTCATCATCGCTTAATGCTTTTGGTTTGCTTGAACATGCCAGTGAAGGTACGATCCATTCCACGCTCCACACTGGTCAAAAATTCCGTACTTTAACTCCTTTCGTGGTAGCCTCCACGACTTTGTAAATAACGAGGCGAGTCAAAAACGAATAGCAAAATTGGATTACGTCTTTAAAATACCTTCGAGGAATCCAAAAGAAGAAAAAAAAACTTTTTTGGCATGACCTTGATGTTGTTGCCCCGCATCACCCGAAGCGCGGCTAAAGTCAAGTAGGTAATCGTGACATCATTGAAACCATCCCCAGAACCCAAAACAACACCAAATAGAACCATAACTTTAGACGAAGCTCAAACCCTTTCCTACCCATCAAAAGCTTCACCCTCGTTATGTGCTTAACAAATCACACATCCCCCACCCCAGACCCCCCGAACAATACCGCAAACAAGTCATCCACACCAACATTCCACCCCTTCCCCCACCTCCCCCCAGAACTCCGCTTCAAAATCTGGTCCACCTACCACGCCCTCACCGGCCCAAGAAAACTCCACTTCAGCTACCGCCACCGTTCCGGAAACACATACCAGCCCCCTCGCGCCCTGGAAGGCAACTCCTCAAGTCACGGCTTCTCTTCCCCTAGGCACGAGATCCCTACACTTTTACACGTTTGTTCAGAATCGCGGAGCTTTGCGTTGGCGGTTTATTCTCTCGTATGGCTAGTTCCGCAAAGTGAGGCGCTTTGTGGACGCGGGGTGCGGAATG